GAGACATATTTGTAATATTGTTAAGCGAACAGAGCAGCAAGGGGAATTGGATGCACTTGACAAATGACTTGGCTTGCAATGAGGTAAAATAAGTTTTTTGTGCTTTTGCCAATAATGTACGGCAGGTTGCTTCCACACTGACATTCTCTGAAGTCAAGCTTGACAAAGACCTTAATAGGTCGAAACGTTGCGATTTGGCTGTGGGTTAAATAAATTGTGTGGCAAACTCCCCTTTTTAGCTGAATTTGACACAAGTTCTTGGAGGAGACTACTTGCCAGCCTTTTACCCTGTGACTTGGTTACTGTGGTTAAAGATACTATTTATGCCTGTTTGGGACTTTAAACAATTGTTCTTCAAACTTTCAAAGTGGTTCGAAGTGCCACTTAGAACTACTGCACAGCCGGACCACACACACAAGTGAAGTGTGCAGCCTATTTACCTCCCAGGCTGGTAGTTAACCGCAGCCAAATTGACGAATGGCTGGGTGGTCGCCGTTCATATAGTCGAACACGTGGCGGCACCCATCTTCTTTAGTCGAACGTGTTCAGCTGTGTTTTGTCGTTGAGATCATGGAACTCAAATCGGACACACGACGGCACGAACACCGCTGAACTTTACCTTCTCTGAGACTTCAACTCTTCGACGGGAGTCGAACAGACGGCACTTCAACATTGACATTGGCCCCCGTTCGTGCATTTGAAGTGTACTTAGTCAGTGGAAATAGACCGACTGCACAGCCAAATTCTCTGGAACTGTTTTGGGCATGAAACCATATGTGCAGTCGGTCAAAAGAGACTTCCAGGAATTTCCTGAACCCCTGCTCTGATTTGGGTGATTTTTGGATATGTTGTTCACCCATATCAGGGCTATCAGGGGATGTAACGTGGGGATATGTTATGTTTTGGGGTGTTTTCTGCACTTTGGGGAAAATGTGTGTTTTTCTGCCTGTGGATAATTAGGTTATTGCATGAACTACTTTAATTATATCACAGGCAGAGGGGAGGGATTGTTTGCTGTACGTGGGGGTGTCAGACACTGTACGTTGTTTTTATTGGTTTGTACATCTTGTAATTTGGTGCTCCATCAAGTCCAGGGGGTGTTCCCCTGGCCTGAGCAATTGTATAGAAGCCAACCTGGACCATTAAAGCTTAGATTCCTGCTTACACTCCAAAACTGTGTGTCGTCCTTTTAGTGGAGGGAAAGAAGACTTGCTCCTGTGTCTGCTGTTGCAGCTTGCAGGAGATTCAATGGGGAAAGTCCTTGTAAGGACTAGCGCTAATTCCCCATTCAGCTCCAGGAAGGAGCAGTTCCAGGGCCCCAGTCCAGCGACGGCATCTGTGGGCAGAAGTGCTGCAGTTGTCCCCTGTTCCAGCTAGGAAGCGGTCCTTTGGCGGAGGTACCCAGCCGGGGTACAGGGAGCTCCGCTTCAATTGGACTTTTCTTGATATCTGGAGTGCCTGGACCTTTCTATTTTTGTTCTATCAAGCATTTGGTTTCCTGTTACTGAGACCGGTCTGGTTGCACTCAGATTCATAATATCTAGGGGATTGAGTGCAGTTCCACATCTTCATTTTTGGAAACCTTCTGTGGGTTGCATCCTGGTTAAACTCTAATGTGTTGACCAATTTGTCAGGGAGTGTAAGGCGGGCAGCACAATGGCAACAAAAAGAAGCAAAAAACTAGCAAGGTGGATGGGAAGAAAATAAGGAAATAGGAGGTAAAACAAACTCACCAGGCGGTTCAGCAGCAATGAAAGAGGATGTTGGAGGGATTGTTGAGTCTCTTATTCTTTTGGTGCTTTGCTTCTAAATAATAATGTTAATAATGTTAACTGTTTCTTTGTTGCTGGAGGTTTTCAATAAATAAATAGAAGCAAAGTATGAACGTCCTGTCTTTTTATGATCAACTTAACTACTTTGCTTCTTAAAAAAATATCATGCATCTTCATTAAACTTTCAATGACCCCAAACCTCTACTTGCAGAAACCTATTGTGGCTATAATCTTCTTCTGGTATTCTTAGAGAGTCCATCTAAGCATTGTAACCACTTCACCTTATTGAAGTGGTTATGGTACAGAGACCCTGTCCTTGTAGCCTTTTATTTTGAAAATGTTTAATTCCAGATATACATACATTTTATCTGTGTGTCGCACCACCTTCCTGGGCAGCCAGCCAGCTGGAACACATTTTTCCTGGTTGGCAATATCAGTTATTGTGGTTAAAATTTTACTTTGATTCCTGGCTGTCAGTAAACTCTCTAGCACCCTAAAAGTAAAAAAAGAATACATTGGTTCTGACTTTTACTTGAGCTCTTCCTAGGAGCACTGCTCAGGGGAATAACATCACACACCACTCTACTATGAATAAATGTACCATCAATTGAGCGAAAAAAGTTTTCTTTCCTGCTGGACTACAACTCATATCATCCTCCCCAAGATTTTGACTGATTGGGGTTAAAACATTTACTGGTGTTGTAATGGGATGATGAGGCAACCACTTGCTAAACAAATTATTTTGAATATTTCAATCAACCTCATCCCATACTTAACTAATTCTGGAATTTTTGTCTCTATTTACGTTATATAGCAAGTCACCATTCTATTCTACACAAACATAATCCCTTTTTTTTTTTTTAAATCTTTAAATCTCCACCCATCTCTACAAAATGCTTTTGGCTGGAGATTTGTCTCTATGAGAAGCATTTGATTGGACAATTCCTAGCAGAGATTAAACATTTTTTCAGTTGCCTGAAATTCGGAAAAAGTTTGGAACCAAAATATAATTCATATGCCATGAGTTCGATTATTCCAAAGGATACTAAACTATGGCACTGTTTATGAGATAGCTCCCTAATTTGGTATCTTTAAAAGTAGCAATCCCACATAAGTGAGCAAAAAAGTGTGTTACCTACTAAATACATCTGCCTGAAAGATCAAATTTAAGGAAAAGAACTTTTATTCATTTTGCTCTTTTAACTTGTTAGTAAATAGCTAATTAATTTGGTATGCTTTATTGGGATTGCCATAATTAATAGTACCAAATCAGGGACTTGTGTACTAAACATCTGAAATACTAAAATTAAGAAAATAGCTTTTCTTAATTGTGATCTTTCAACTGTTTAGAAGATAGCGCCGTAATTTCCTGTGCATATCACAGTGGAGTAGCTTGGGCAAGGCCACAGGGGTAGTTGTCTTTGGTGCAAAATTTCAAAAAAGAAAAAAAGAAAGTAATTATAATTAATAAAAATATGTGCATCTTCCCCATCACAGAAAATCTCCCAATGTTCGAACATTCTACAAAGTTATCCAATAGGATTGGGCAAATGAATGTTGCCACGTAACACTTTGCAGTATTTTTCTTGCTAATTACAACCCTATTTCCCCTTATGTAATCGTTAGCGGTGAATTACATAATGCCTATTAATAGCATTGTTTCCTGTTTGAAGATAACACTGGTATCTTTAAACAGGAAATCACGTTATTATTAGGCATTATGTAAATGCCTATTAAACGTTATCATACCGTTACATCTTTAATGGGTGCCTAGATAGCCTCGCTCCTCCTTCCGTAAGTGCCTGGTCTCTGTGATGTGTGTGACTGATAGTTGTGTTCCGTAAATTATAAAATCCACCTCACGCTTAAAGTAATGTGTCGATAGACTATACACATTACTTTAGGTGTGAAGTGAATTAAAAAAAATTACACAACAAAACTATCAGTGTCACACAGATCACAGAGACGAGGCGGGTAGAGAAGGAGGAGCAAGACTATCACAAGTGACTCGAGGAGTGCTAATAGTCCACTGATTTGGGGGAGTAATATATATGAAACCAAGAGTCTGCACTCACTTACTTGAACATGCATACATTAAAGGGTCCGCTGGGGCCAATTTATACAACATACAAGATCCAGACTCAGCTAAACATCAATTTCAAGTCTCACAGATCGTAATAGTTCGTGCAACTTAACGCCAGATGCGACTAAGGTGTTGGTCGTCCTTTCTCGCCTTGAACTGTAATTCACTTCTCAGTGGTCTTACGTGCCAACTAGCGCCGTTACAGTCCATAATGAATGGGCGGCAAGGCTCATCTTCCTGTCCGAACCTCCCTGCACCCTTCTGTCAATCCCTACATTGGCTTCCTATAAAATATAGAGCTCAATTTAAAATTTCTTCTTGCTTTCAAATCTCTACATAATGCTGCTCCCACCTATCTATCCTCCATTATACACAAGTATGTCCCGTCTGGCCCTTACGATCTGCTGAAGACTTACGTCTATCTTCTGTCCGTACTCCCACCTCTGATGCTCGCCTTCAAGATTTCTCGAGGGCTGCACCGTTCCTGTGGAACTTGCTTCCCTCCTCACCCAGTCTCCACTCCTTAAAAAAATCGTTAAAAACCCACTTCTTCATAAAAGCGTATCCATTAAACTGTTAATAGCTCCTGACTGATTCCTCTTCTGCAAGTGTCATTAGTCTAATACTATCCTTACCTTTTTGTGTCATTTTACCCCACTCCCTCTAGCATGTAAGCTCTTTGAGCAGGGCCCTCAACCCCTCTGTTCCTGTGTGGCCAACTTGTCTGGTTACAACTACATGTCTGTTCGTCCACCCATTGTAAAGCGCTCCGGAATTTGACGGTGCTCTATAAATATCATAATAATAATAATAATAATAATAAAAACACTGCACCTAGAAAAGGGAAGTGGTTGCTGGGTTAGACTGGGCAGGGAGCGGCGGCCTTTCACACACAGACACCGAGAAAACCTTCTCTGACACCCCACCAGGAGCTGCCATGATCCTGCTCGAGGTCAATAACCGCATCATCGAGGAGACCCTCACCCTCAAATTCAATAATGCAGTGACTGGGAACAAGGCAGTAGAAGTAACATTTTCAGACCTCGACTGAGTGCGTTACCCATTTTCTAATACAATGACCATTTTTCTAAGCTGGCGACAAATTGATGGTCAGTATTTCACTAAAGTTCTACAAGGAGCTGCACACATGGCACTGATGAGATCTTAATGAAAATCTATGGGGATTTCTTGGTTGATCCCGAACCAGGTTACAATGTGTCTTTGTTGTGCAATCTTGAGAACCTACAATCCAAACCGAGACTTTGTTATTCACCAAGCTGGCATGCTGCTTTGTTCTAAAAATATTTCAAGTTTCAAGAAGAGGGGCAAAAGGGAGAGAGGAGAGCTGTGATCCATTACCGTGATGATGAGACCATGTACGTCGAGGCCAAGAAAGACAGAGTGACTGCTGTATTCAGCACAGTGTTTAAAGATGATGTTGACGTTGTGATAGGCAAAGTGTTTATGCAGGAGTATAAGGAAGGTTGGCGTGCCAGTCACACAGCTTCACATGTACTCTTCGAGAGCCTCCAATGGAATTAAAGGACACAGATGCAGCTGTGGGTGATAATATTGGATACATCACATTTGTGCTCTTTCCACGTCATACTAACACCAATGCATGAGACAATACCATTAATCTTATCCACACATTCTGGGATTATTTGCACTACCACATCAAGTGCTCCAAGACTTATATCCATACTCGCATGAGGACGAAAACTTCAGACTTCCTTAAAATTCTTAACAGGGCTCGCCCAGACGCTGAGAAAAAGGAAATAAAAACTATAACGGGCAAGACATTTTCAACCCATCTGATAACTTGTTTTCTTAACAGACAAACTAAAATCCCAATAAGCATACCTGTGCATATAAATTGAAACGTTGACCGTAATCATTTTGGAATTGTTGTAAAATAAATAAATCATTCTATCCTACAAAACAAACAAACAAAAAAGCACACCTAACCTAGGCAAAAAATAATGGGGGTTTAGTTACAGTATATGATCATGCATTGCATAAGCCTGCCACAACGTCAATGTACCCCATTGAGGGGGACAGGGCCGGACTGGGAAAAAAATTAGGCCCGGGCATTTTTCAATTAGAGCGGCCCCCCAAGAAGGGGGCGGGGCCAGAGAGGGTGTGTTTTGTCATCACTAATGACAAGCACGCCCCCTCTGAAAGTGAGCATGTTGGTTCAATGCCCAGAGCCCTGCTGAAGAGCTCTGGCATTAGAAAAAGGCCCTGAATTTGTTCTGCCCAGCGCAAGCAAATGTAATAACATGCTTGCACTGTGTTTGCTTTTAAATTGTCTCTGGTGTCTCCACAAGTGGGATACCAGAGGACAAAAGGCCAGGAAAGTGTATGGTGCATGTGTTTGGCGCCTGCTTGTGGGATTGCCTGTGTGTAGAGTGTGGTGTGGTATTGTGTAAATAGGTCGATTTTGTGGTGTAATATGTGTGGCTAGGGGCTGTAGAGAGTGCGTGTATAGGGGCATAGTGTTATAGGGGATGTAGCGAGTGTGTGCATATGGGCAGTAGTGTGTGTGTGTATAGGTGACGTAGTGTGTGTAGGGGTTGTAGAGAGGGTGTGTTTAGAGAATGTTGTATGTGTTTGCTTACAAGGAATGTAGTGTGTGTGTAGGTGGTGCACTGTGTGTGTGTAAGAGATCTAGTGTGTAAAGGACCCAGAGTGTGTATAGAAGATTGTGTGTGTGTGTGTGTGTGTAGAGGATTAAGAGTGCATATAGGGTAAGGGATCTAGCGTGTATCTGGAGCGTAATGTGTGTAGTGGTGCAGTGTGAGGGGTGCTGTAGTGTGTGTGTATATATATATATATTTGGACGTATTGTATGTGTGAGGTGCGCAGTGTGTTTGTGTAAGAGGGGTGCTGTGTGTTAGGGTGTTTTTATCTGCCGTCACATTCTAGGTTTCTAATTTTCTTTGTCTGTTAACTCACTGAGGGTTATTTTATATAATATATATATATATATATGTATATGTATATGTGTCTCTGGGTGTGCTGTGTGTGTGTCTGGGGGTGCTGTGTGTGTATCTGGGGTGCTGTGTGTGTGTCTGGGGGTGCTGTGTCTCTGGGGGTGCTGTGTGTCTGGGGTGCTGTGTGTGTTTGGGGGTGCTGTGTGTGTCGGGGTGCTGTGTGTGTTTGGGTGCTGTGTGTGTCTGGGTGCGTGTCTGGGGGTGCTGTGTGTAGTGGGGTGCTGTGTGTGTCTGGGGGTGCTGTGTGTGTCTGGGGTGCTGTGTGTGTGTATGGGGGTGCTGTGCTGTGTGTATCTGGGGCTGTGTGTGTGTGTCTGGGGTGCTGTGTGTGTGTGCTGTCTGGGGTGTGCTGTGTGTGTTTGGGGCTGTGCTGTGGTGCCGTGTGTGTATCTGGTGCTTGTGTGTTTGGGTGCGCCGCGGTGCGTGGTATCTGAGGTGCTGTGTGTGTGTCTGGGGTGCTGTGTGTGTGTTTAGTGCTGTGTGTGTGTCTGTGCTGTGTGTGTGTGTCTGGGGCGCTGTGTGTGGAGGGTGTGTGTGTGTTTGGGGGTGCTGTGTGTGTTTGGGGGTGCTGTGTGTGTTTAGGTGCTGTGTGTATCTGAGGTGCTGTGTGTGTGTCTGGGGTTGCTGTGTGTGTGTCTGGGGTGCAGTGTGTGTCTGGGGTGCTGTGTGTGTCTGGGGTGCAGTGTGTGTCTGGGGTGCTGTGTGTGTGTGTGTCTGAGGGTGCTGTGTGTGTCTGGGGTGCAGTGTGTGTCTGGGGGTGCTGTGTGTGTGTGTCTGGGGGTGCTGTGTGTGAGGGGGCTGTGTGTGTCTGGGGGTGCTGTTTGGGAATTAATTTTAAATATATATATATTTTTTTATTAATAATTTTTTTTTTAAAGTTATGTCTCCCCCCCCCCCTTCTTACCTTTAGTCTGGGAGGGGGGGAGGGAGCCGTTCTGCCTGGGAGGGGGAGCCATGCTGCCTTCCCTGGTGGTCCAGTGGTGAGAGTGAACTCTAACCTGTAGGTTAGAGTTCACTCTCGCGAGATCTGAGCGTTGCCGCGGCAATGCTCAGAATCTCGCGAGAGGACCCGGCGGAGCTGCTTGTTAGAGCTCCGCCGGTCCTCTCTCCCTCCCTCCCTCACCCAGCCGGCGGCCGCATCTCCCTGCCTGTGGGCCGGTGAGGGAGATCTTTGATCTCCCCACCGGCCCATGGAGGCACTATGCAGGGCCGGCGCTTGGATAGCGCTGGCCCTGCAGGGGCCGGCCTGGGAGATCCCCTGCCGGCCTCGGCCCCACGGCCATCGCGGCCCACCGGGCATTTGCCCGGTGTGCCCGATGGCCAGTCCGGGCCTGACTGCAAGTATTAGATGATGTTCAAATAAAGTATATGACTAAAGTGAACACCTGCCCATCTAAGTTTTTATCCCAAAGTCATGGGCATGACTATTGAGCGAGTTTCCTTGCTCCACTCTTTTAGGAATGCATTTCACTAAATGATAGAGCACTGCTGTGGTTATTTGCTAACCACAAAAGTAGGATTGAGGTTTGGAGATTGGAAATACGTCAAAACAGAATATATGGTGTCCCAACTCATCCGAGAGGTGTACAATTGTGCTAAAGTCAGGGCTGTGTGAAGTCACGTTCTTCTACAGCAGTCTTTACAAATCATTTCAATATGGGCATCACATTGTGTTGGGATAAGGCCTTACTAACACAGGAAAGGCCTTCCACAAATTGCTGTCTCAAAGTTTAAGGACTTTAGCACTCTGTAGGGCAAACTAATACATTGGCAATTTGCAGTTTGGCAGGAAACATTCTACGCTGCTTGTGATGTCAAAAGCAAACACAGTGAAAGCATGTAATACAATTTACTTTATTTCTTTATTTGAGCAAGCAAAGGCTACTCCATAAAAAAAAAAAAAAAAACAATGTTAAAAAACAAAACAAAAAAACCCCACTGTTTTTGGTTGAATTAACCCCTTGCAAGTAAATCTGGCCCTGTTTGGGAGCCCTGCGGGTGTGGTCTCACACAGTTCTCACACAGCCAATCTGGGTGCTGTACAGAGCGCACATAATATCTGTGTGAGAGCCACACAAAGAAGGCGGAGAATAGTATTAGTAGCCAAAATAACCTGCACCAGGAGGGGGGACGGCTGATCGCCTACCGCCTAAGGGCCCCATGAGCTGTCAGTCTGCCCCTGGCTAAATCCGCTAACTTCAAATGGTACCCAAATTTCTTTAGCCGTGCTGTGTGACTAGTTGACTTATCAGACATTTTGATGTAATATTAATTGGCATACATGTTATAAAACTTGCAGGGACTTACCAAGCTCAGCACACCTCTTCGTAACTGGTTTAGAAAATGCAGTTGTTCATGGCCAAAATAGAAACGTCATAGTACCTGCATCATTCTGTTAATATACAGACCCCCAAGAGATGGGAAGATATTTCTTCAGGAACTCTCAGTCCTTTTGACTGGTTTAGTCCGTGAACACCCCAGATGGCTTATATTGGTAGACTACAACACTTGGATTGATGTCACCAGCTTGATGAGTGCACTCGGCTTCACACAAATCGTTGCCACTTCCACCCACAGAAAAGGTCATACACGTGTTCCAGTCTGGACTAGAAGTGTCACCAGTAACTGTAAATCCAGTTGTTTGGTCAGACCACCACTCCATTCACTTCTCCATTGTATCACAATCAGCCAGACCCCAGCCTCAGAACCTGGTCAAACACCGCTAATTAAAAGGGGTGACGCCATTGGATGTAACATCACATATGGATCTAAGTGAACTAATGGGCACTTGTGAAGACCCCAGCTCCTTAGTCCGACTCTACAACAAAACCATGACAGACACCCTAAAAAGCATTGCACTAACACGCATACGCATTGTGAAAACCCACAACAATGCACCATGGTTTGATAGCACCATTAGAGAAATGAAGAGATCAGACTGTAAACTCGAGAGAAAGTGGCGTAGGACACATGATCCAAAAGATAAAGCCGCTCTTACCAAACATCTAAATGAATATCATTTTAAGATAACTCAGAAAAAATCTTCATTTTTATCACATGAAATTGCACTCTCCCACAACAGACCCAGGCATCTGATTCGCACAGTAGAAAGGCTCTGCAAACCAGCATGCATGCATATCCCCACCAAGTTTTTTCTGGATAAGTGTGAAGCATTTGCGATCTTCTTCAGAGAAAAGATTTCCTCAATTCGAGCCTCTATCACAGCAGGCTAAACAGTTACACACCAGAACCACTACAATGGAATGCCAGATTACCCCAATTTATGGTCCACTTTTACAAATGTGGATATATAGGGAGTTAAAAGAACCATGCAAAAGTTACACCCTACTATGTGTGACTTAGACCCTGCTCCAACCCAGCTTATATCTTCATGTATTGAAACACTTATACCAGCCCTCACAAAAATAGTGCAGTGTTCCCTAAAAACTGGAGACTTCACAGATCCTCTAAAAGAAGCTGTGGTAAAATCACTCCTAAAGAAACCTTTATTAGACCCAGACTGCATGGCTAATTACAGACCAGTATCCAACCTTCCATTTCTGGGGAAAATAATTGAAAAAGTAGTGGCAACTCAAGTCGAGGCCCATCTATCAAGCTTGAACATCTTTGATCCTTTCCAGTCAGGTTTCAGATGCCGCCACAGCACTGAAACAGCGCTAGTCCTAGTCCTGCTAAATGATCTCCTTATGGCGAGAGACAAAGGTGATTACTCCATCCTAATCCACTTGGATCTCTCAGCTGCATTTGACATCATTG